CAGCATCCAAGAAAAGGCGAACAGAAGATACTACAGTCAAGTGCAATGATATATTTAAAACCTTATGTGAGCAGAAGACACCTATCAGAACTGTACTCACTAAAGGGGTGGCAGGTATCGGGAAAACAGTCTCTGTGCAGAAATTTATTCTCGACTGGGCAGAAGGTAAAGCAAACCAGGATGTTCACTTCATATTTGCTCTTCCTTTCCGGGACCTGAATTTGATTAAGGATGAATACAGTCTGATTGAACTGGTTCACCACTTTGTCCCTGATCTGAAATCATTTGAATCCACTGAGCTGTTTAGGTGCAAAGTCGTATTTATCTTTGATGGTCTGGATGAGTGTCGCCTTCCTCTAGATTTTTCGAACAATGAGAGCTGGTTTGATGTAACAAAGAAAACGTCACTGGATGTGCTGTTGACTAACCTCATTAAGGGGAATCTGCTTCCATCCGCTCTCCTCTGGATAACCTCCCGGCCAGCAGCAGCCAACCACATACCTCCTGAGTGGATCCACCAGGTGACAGAGATACGAGGGTTCAGTGATACCCAGAAGGAGGAGTATTTCAGGAGGAGATTCGGTGATCAGAGCCTGGCCAGTAGGATTATCACACATGTGAAATCATCAAGGAGCCTCTTCATCATGTGCCACATACCTGTGTTCTGCTGGATTTCAGCCACTGTTCTTAAGAAGCTTTTTAATGAAACTGACAGTGGAGAAATTCCAAAGACTCTGACTGAAATGTACACACACTTCCTGATCTTTCAGACAAGATTTAACAGTGAGAAGTATATGAAAGAGTATAAAACCAAACCTAATAAATACTTTGAATCCGGCAAGGAATTGCTTTTAAAACTTGGTAAACTGGCTTTTCATAACCTTGAGAAAGGCAACCTCATATTTTATGAGCAGGACCTGACAGAAAATGACATTGATGTCACTGAAGCTTCAGTTTACTCTGGAGTGTGTACAGAAGTCTTTAAGGAGGAATATGGGCTGTATCAGGATAAGGTGTACTGCTTTGTGCATCTGAGCATCCAGGAGTATCTCGCTGCTTTATATGTGTTTCTATCAAAGTCATCAGCTGACCTGCTGATGACTGGAGTGGATCAGGCATTAAAGAGCAAGAATGGACACTTGGACCTCTACCTCCGCTTCCTCCTGGGCCTCTCAACAGACTCCTGTCAGAATCTGTTACAAAGGCTACTGGGAGAGACAAGAACCAGCTCACATGACATTAAGCAAACAGCCCTATACATCAAGGAGAGAATACAGGAGAATATATCTCCTGAAAGGACCATCAACCTGTTCCACTGTCTGGTTGAATTGGGTGACAATTCTCTAGTAAATGATGTAGAAAGATACCTGAATTCAAGAAACCTTTCACCTGAAGACCTCTCACCTGCACAGTATTCAGCTCTAACCTTTGTGTTACTGATGTCAGATGAGGAGCTGGATGTGTTTGATCTGAAGAAATACATCAGACGAGATAATGAGCACTGCAGACTGCTGCCTGTGGTCAAGAACTCCAGGACGGCTCTGTAAGTGACAGGGGGATGGGAAATCATGTTTGGTCTGGCAGTAATACATTAACATTATATTAAATATATCTAATTTATTTCTCCTCTTGGATTAATAACTGGGGTGTTTGTTTGATAATCTGGAACACAGACTTTATAATGACTGAATGTAGTAACAAGCAAAAAAGTCACAGGCACAGCATCCTAATCTGCTATAGAAACAGTGAGGGCTCTTTATCCATAGGGTGTATAAGTGGTATGTGAGTGTTACTGTCAGCAGGTGTGTTCATGTGATGGAGCCCAGAGCTGGGAGCTTCCGTATGACTGCTGTCTCTGGCTGCTCACTGGCGGCCTCTGCTGGCCTCTGCTGCTCCTGGCCGAGAACGTGATGACACATCCTGTCTGGCAGTACTAGATTAACATCGTTTAAAATATAAAATGAATATGTACAGTCAACCCTCGTGCATTCACGTGAATTCACAGATCCATGAAAATTACATGTACATGTTTCCTTTACGTATTTTATTGAATTGTACCTTGGTTATGTATATGACTTCTATCAATAAGTTTACAGTCCCGTTCGTTTACTCATTTTACCTTATTGAGAATGCAAAAGAAAATGGCAGCCACTGCCGTGTTCTATGAATTAGTAGGGGTAATATTAGTATACTGTACTGAAAATGTGCTAGCGTGACAAATATCCGTTAGGCGATACTTTACTCTATTTTTACATCAAACATTTGTTTTTTTAAAAGGTAATTAAGCTTTTATTTTAACTTTTAAATTAAATTAAAGTGTTTTAGGAGCATGACTGGGGTTATATTTTGGGTTTAAACTATAGAAATATCAGAACTGTATATATTATCATTATCAGATGTCTGTACATATTATCATTTTTACGTTTACATATGTATACATGTATACATTGTCTCAAAGCACTTTACAGCATCCCTACCCAAAGCCCCCAGTGAGCAGCCAGAGGTGACAGTGGCAAGGAAAATCTCCCAAGAAGGAAGAAACCTTGGTGGGAACCAGACCCAAAGGGGCAGCCCATCCACCAGGGGGCAGTAGAGGAAGTCAAGTGATCAAGATGGTGACATCTCAATTCACATTGTCCAAATCTTAACATTTCAGTCACAAAGCGGGAGGCAGGGAGGTGATGACAGGCAGGTGCTGGAGCTGCTTCAGACTGCAGAACGAACAGTAATACGGCAGGAGGGCATACAGGGAAAACACAGGCAGAAGGGCGAGCAAGCCGCAAGGGCGTCACAGGCAGAAGGGCGAGCAGGCCGGAAGGGCGTCACAGGCAGAGGGGCTTCACAGGCGGGAAGGGCGTCACAGGCAAAAGGGCGAGCAGGCCGGAAGGGCGTCACAGGCAGAGGGGTGAGCAGGCCGGAAGGGC